AACTTCTTCCTCCCTTTATACTTATTATTATCATAAGAATTGGTATTCCTTTCCATCTGCTCAGCTCTAATTCATCCCATAGTGCATGCACACAACTATGTGTATAGACTGAAAAATAACTATCTAAAGCTAAAGTAGGAAAAAGCAGTGGAAAACTGGAGCATGTGAAATGATCAAGGAGTTCTATACTGCAAAGCTGAGCATATGTATTATTTTGCACCAAAGTAATCAGATTGGGGTGGGGATGGAGAGAACAAAATAGTGTATCATTTAGGCTTCTTGTGAAGGAAGACCATCCAAGACATGAGGTTCAGATGGAACAGAAACAAGCAATACAAGTAATTTTAGAATTCATAAGGAGAAGAAATGAAAATATTTAGATAAAGGTCTAGACTTTGAAAATATGCAATTATTCAAATTTCACAGAGTATTCTAGTGTTTTGAGAGATGATCATTTCTATGCTGGTAATTTATTTGTGTATTTTAATGAAAAGAGCAAAAATTGGAATACATAAAATTAAATAAGTGGAAAAGAGTCTGATAGTTTAAGATTAGAATAAAATTAAGTATTAAGAAGACCAATCTCAGTTGGTAAAATTAGGCTCTTCTACTGTTTCCCAATTTAGAGCTTAAATCTTTTCTATTATTCTGTTACTAAGCTTCCAATTAATCTAACTTAATTAACACTTGAACTAAAGTACAAAATTTTAGATGCATCACATGTTTTGAGATTAATGTTTTGACACATATCATTGAAATTATATGGTCCTTTGATGTTGAAAACAGAATTTTTTCTTTGAAGGAATAATCCATACTTTTGTTGTCCTTTGCACTTGTAAATTTATTTTTTTCCTTTGGTTGCAAACCAAGGTATGTTTTCTACGTTGGTCTGCTGCCAAATAAGGCAAAGTTGAAAATATTTAATTTGTATGCAAAGGGCTAAGCTAGATTTTTAGAAAGATGTTCCAATTGAAGTTGTCCTTTCTTCAATTTTTTTTCTTTTGCACCCTGTCTTCCTTGTCAGCCTATAACACCGCTTAATCAGGCCTGTGTTCAGTCTTAGGCAGACCTGGGTAGAAGCATCTCACCTGTTTGCCGTGCTTTTACTCTTCTGCAGGTGTGGCCTTATGGCCACTGTTCCTGTTGGTCTTCCCCCTTAGAAAAGGACATCAGCCCTCCTCTGATAAAACCTAATAGTCTTTCTTAAATAAG